GTTGTACCCGGCATCAGAATTTTTCCGTCATAACTCACGGCGCCAGGTGAGCATAGGGACGAAGATCGAGTTGAAAACAGAAAGTTTGGTTTTCAGACTCAGTTTTGCTTCGGTCACAGAGGATGAGGCTAGTATGCTCAGAACGCGCTGGCCATTCCAATTCACCGGTCAACTTCGTCCTTCCATTTTTCATTACCAGTGGACACGATCCTGAGGTACGTAAACTTATTCATCGTTTCCATGGTTTCTCCGTTTATGTGCAGAGCGAAGAAGCAGGAGAACGAGTGAGCATATGGCCGTGTTGTTATAAACATGTCCACACCACATGCCGGCCTCCACACTCAGCTGAGAACCTTTCCAGAGAGCCCTGAAGATCAGTTTCAGAAGATGCCAGTTAAACAAGGTCTGCAAACAACAACCTTCTTGTCTTCACGTCTCCCACACCAATACATTCGTCGCGCTGACTGCACATGACTCTACTCTTCATGTGTATGACAAGCAGAAGAAAAAACAGAACGCAGCCTTAGCGGAGAATAGTGCCATCCTTTAAACTTCTTGACTTAGTGCCATTTATTTGATGCAGCACCTGCCATCAACATATAGCAACCTGATGGTTCCTAAAAACTAACAATCGCACTCATTCACCTGTGACCAAACCCAAAATATTTTATCATCTCGTTTTTTCAGATGTGCGAACTCAAGTTATCTCTCAGAAATTTGATGTAGATGTCGAAGATCTGGTCAGAGGTGCTTCGGGCTGACTTGAAGCTTCACTGCACTTCTTGGATCTTAGAGTCAGACGTTCCACGGCAAGTCGTTTCCAACACCCTTGCGTAGATCTTTTTCTGCAGGATCAATAACGTAATGCCTGATAATTCGAGCACTCCACGTGGCCTCCCCTTTTGAACGGGGTACTGCAACCCGAGTTTTCAATGGTATCTTTCCCGCAGGTTTGCAGATACCTGCATTGTTCGCTTAAAGCTTTAAGCAAATTTCATCCATTTCAGAAACTTTGCCACTCTTCGGACTATGTGGAGATTTTTTACCTTTATCTATTGAAAAGTTAATCTCTATTGACTGTTGTCCTTCATGCTTGTTTGTGCCTCATGCATTCTTTAAAATATACCTTGTCACATGTATCGTTTAGAAGCTGTAACTCATAGATTATGCAGTACTGGACAAGAAGGATGAACGCATGGGAAAGAATAAAATGAATGGCCGCCAAACTCTGAGCAGTCCCAATGCATAGCATTGCAGAGAGTGACTAAATTGATCTAATTTGAAATTGATCAATTTCTTGTTCAGTTAATTGTTTGAATAACGAAACGGTTACTTCAGAATGTTTCTTTGATGATCATGGCTCTTTAATAATTGAATATATCATTACTGAAATCCATGAAACCACATGGTGAGTGACCAGACCATAGATTTATAACTTGATCACTTACGATGCTGTTTCTGGAAGATGACCCGTCTGGGAATTCTCTCATTTGCGACAGTGACTGTGAACCACTTATCAAAACGTTTGCAATTTTGGAAAAAATAGATGAGGGAATGCGGATATCATAAATTTCCTGGCTATGCATCATGACAATCCAAATGACACCAAAAGTTTCGCGAAGGAATCCCTTTCTGCTGTATCCACCAGCAGAAACATTAGTGTTCTGGATATAGTGCAGAACAATGACGAGACAGACTTGAGGGCATAGAGCTTGGTCAGTTCCTGTGTCCACTACGATGACTCATCTATTATCGCTCATCAACACAACCTCGAGATAGGTCAATCTGTTTACATTCTAAACTCGCGTTCCGTTTATCTACAAAGCGCATTGATTGGCCTTTCTCGAGAATAAGACAGCTTTAGTTTTGATTAGTTTAATTAGAGGGAACAAATATAACGAGTTCATCTGCAAAATGAAGCACAACCTTTATGATGACGTTCGCCATGTCCTCATAATGTCTTCTAATACAGACCGTAAAAATCACCAAAAGGAATGGAGACCAACAAGCTTCCTGGAAGACTTTGACTTTTCGTCGTTTATCTAATAGTCTAAGAAGTTAATTCTTAGACCATATATATATTCTTCCTCATCTGCAGAATTGCGATTGATTTTGAGAGTTAAAGCTGTCTTCGCTTCGTCTACTATCATCTCACCCATAAGATCATCATTGAAATTCTACTTGGACTGCAGGAGTTACCTTACCTGTCATGCTTCGCGTCTTTTGTTAGACGCGTAATGAAGACTGAATGGTTGAACTAGGTAAGAGATGACTTTATTCTATTCTGAGCAAAGTGACCTTAATAGATCTGGAATAACAAAGGAGGTTGACACTGTCATATAAATTTGCTGAGCATTCACCTTTTATTCCAGCTGTGGATTCATCTGTGGAAGTCGAAACGCGGCACAGCACGCAACATGATGAACGAGGGGGGGGGCAAAGACAGACCAGCTTTCAGAGAGTAATATTTTCTTCTGAGATGCAGTAACCGGTGCCTTAAAGCAAAACAGCTTAAAAGCTGTGAATTAAGCGAAATCAAAAACCAGAAACGTTCTAGCTGTGCAAACGTCTCAAGGTGACTACCTCAACAAACCCGTACAGCCATGGTTTTTGTTTAACGTTTTTCTGCCTTGTGTCGAATCTTTTCCAAAAAGTAACGCGCATCCCTCTACATTAGCAAAATGCGGGACATCGTTTGAGAGTCAGAAATCGGCGAGAGGATGCTTGCCTTGATTGGCGAAAATTTCAGCAAGCGTTCGACGAGTAATGGGAAGAGTATATCATTTTAAGATAGCTGATATGGACTACGTGTGTCATGTGCTCCGCGTTTAAAGCTACG